GATGTGTAAATTAGAGGCCGTGAATCTGCATGATAAAGAACGACCTAAAGGCTACGTGCTACAAGATAATCATTCATGATTTAAGGTCAAGAAATTGAGTTCTGGATCGAACGATTACGACCCTTGATTCACAGCAAACCTAAAGCAAGGTATTAATTGGTGATCACTGTGAAATAGCTGTCTACAGATAGAAAAGGGAAGGCCTGTCGATCACCGGAATCATCATTTTATTCGTCTGAGCTTTCGGGCTCTTAATGAAGTCCATCCTCAGAAATAAAAGCGTCAAAAAACAACGCGTTGCCTACTAGTTACTCTTGCAGTAGATACGGAGAAGAAGTGCATAATCTGCGATTAACTACTGAACCAGTATCAGTAAGATCTCTTCGCATTATGTATGCTAAATACCGCCGACGTGACCCTTGCTTCGAAGGTTCATGTTCTGTAAAATCAGCGAGCCCAATGGACTGCATTTCATTAAAGAAAAATCCCGATGGTTATCCCACACAACCGCGTATTTGACACACAGCCATCGCTTATCTAATTTTTCATAAATCCACAAATTTCTAAATCACTCACCGTCTTCCTTCGCCTTCCTCAGTACTTGAAGCCAAAAGAAGTTTCAAAGCTTTTCTCGCCATGCATTTACTTCAGAGACCGCTGAATCAACTTGTAGAAATATGTTTACACAATCTGTTAGCTACATCCACAAAACGCAAACTGTTCCATGATTTTCACGTATATAACAAATTATAAATTATGCCCTTGAGGTTTTCCCCGAAAATAACTTTGGGTAGGAGTACCTCGTAGGGGGCCACCTGGGGAGCACGCGAAGCGCGCCCCTCAGTCTCACGGGCACCTGATTTCAGGAGAGAGGAGGGGCGGGCATGCCAGGGAACAAATTAGATCGCAATAATTCTATAAAATAAAAAACTGACGAGGGTAAATTGGGGCGCTTAATCAAACCTCGGGCGAGGACACTGAATTCGGCTTTAATATCATCGCTAACCCCCGACGGACCAACGGCGAGCGCATATCTCGGGGGAGTGTGCCCCAACCTCGGGCAAGGTCACTGGGGAA